CCGGTCCAGACGCAGAAGCGACTACTCACGCGGACAACTGCTCATGGTGTACCACTCCATGCACTGCCCGTAGGGGAACGAGGCCACGTAAGCGTTGGAGTCCACGCACTGCTTCATGTTGCTGCACCACATGCACTCGGAGCTGCCGCTCGTGCACTCCCCGCAGAGGGTCCGCAGGGCGCAGGGCGTGCGGCACTGCTTGGCGCTGTGGTTTGCTGCGGGCAGGGGGACAAGGGTCAGCTTTCTTCCAGGAACAAACAGGGAACGAGCCCCGAGATAGGAAGACAGAAGATAAAAGCCCTGTCTATCACTCAGGCTGAAAACCAGTTCAATAGGACAGACCCGAAACACCCTGGTTGGGGCGGGGCGGTGCTGGACGGAGCTGGCGATACCTCACGTCGCGGTGAGTACGAGGAATGCAGTAAGTGCTGTAAAATCATTTCTCTTCTTAAGCATCCTTTGTGAGTGTTAATGCTTTTAAGTTATTCACCTTTGAAGGCATTCACTTAAAAACAACTTAAATAGTGTTACGAATGTGGTCTTGATCTCTCTGCAGGTCGTTGATGTGTTCCTTAGCTATTCTCCCAACCCAAGTGTTGGGAAGAAACCGCACATTTTATGTGTGAGCACACTGGGACGTGTTTTAAGTTATTTGATCAGTTCCACACATAAAATGGGCATTGAAAGCAGAACTAACTCAGGAGTTTCTGGTGTGAGCCAATGCTTTATCATCTGTTTCAAGGGACTGTTCTCGGACCATAAAAAACAAGTTAAAGCTTAAACCAAAGTTAAACTATACAAAATTTTGAGTTCAGGTTCCACATTCACGATCTGCATCCTGCACTCCCACAAAGAATGATTTCAAGTGGTGTCGCTTACTTAGAAATTTTATGGAATCAGCCAACTTCCTTAAAACTTAAAGAGGCACTAATTGGTATTCAGAAATAATCAGCTATAATGGGGAGTTAACAGACCAAGCCATTTTAAAAGATACGCAGTTCCAACAAAGCTAGAAGACTTTTCCCAAAAGCAAATAGCTTCGTTTCAAAGTTCTCATATCTCCAAAGTGTCTTGCCCAATTAATTTCAAACTTTGATAAAATCCTCCTCTGGCTACAGAGCAGGGGAGGGGAGAAAGGGGAGTTCAATCGCAAAGTAGCTTTTTCTTTTTTTTTAATTTTTTTAAACAGGAGATTGCTCCATACCGTAATTAACCTAAATGTCACATTCAGGTGTGCAATTTAGAGAAAAATAATTAAACTATAATGTAGTTCAAGCATTTTACAGTTAACAGCATAGATGAGGAGCTATTTTTAAAATCTCCAATTCCTGTCTGAAGCACCTACACAAGACACTTTTTCAGAATGACTTTTTTTTGGCCAAAAAACGCAGGTAGTTTCAGAGGTAATGAATGGGATCCTCTTTTCTCTCTAGGAAATAGAAGTATTTAGTACTCAGCCCGCTCCCCGTTTAGCCACTGTTACCTGGCCTTTCGCAGACACTGCCGTTGACTTCGTTGATGCACGTGGCTGCCTTCAGCCCCTGCTGGAAAGGCTCAGCTAAATAACCACAGAACCCGGCATCGCTGGGTTCATCGGGGAGCCACTGGAGCAGGGTGTTGGTGAAGGGAGACATGTCTTCCCAGCACCAATACGACACATTGATTTTCCTCAGTCCAACCCATGGAGTCAAAGTTTTGGGCTAGAAGTAGAAGAAATTGGTATATTTATGGGTCGTTTTATTACTTAAAATATTAAAAGGAAATACACATATTAAAAGAAAACACACTAATGCTCATAACAACTTTGCCAGGGTAGGTGTTGCAAAAATGTAGTAAAGGAAATACTTGTTTCTCGGTGCTATCAGGATTAAATGCTACAGAGATAAAGAAACCACTCAGGAAACACCAATTTTACTTTTTTTTTTTCCCAAACTACAGTTCTGGTTACCTACACCAGGAGGAAAACAAGTCAAACATCCGCACTGGCTGACTAGGAAATTAATTGCAAGTTGCTTTTTATAGGTTTGTGACTCCTATAAACGGCTAGACACAGGAAAAAAAAACTCTTGAGCTACAGTTTGCCATGAGGAAGAAAACAGACGGTCCCCTCCAAAATTAAATGATACCATCTACCTACTCTACAGCCTGGCTGGAAGACTCCTGCTGTTTCAGACTGTGCATATATGGTGGGGTGGAGAGACAGAGCAGGTCAAATCTAAATTAATTCTCAATATGAAGAGCCCGTAATACAATTATTTCTACTGACCATTTAATTTGTGGCACGTGTTTATTTTGGGGAGAGGCACTTCAACGGTGTTGGCACACTATGTGATTCTACTGTTCAAACCTTTTCTCCATCAAAGCCCTTTGGTGGCACAGGAAGGATTTAGACCACACGTCTTCCCTTGCTGCTGTATATAACCACCATCTACTTCAAACTGATCTTAGGCGCTCTTCAACCTTACAGCTGCCACTTCTAAAGAGCAACGGGGTTACACGGCACTATGTGCCAACACCACCGTGTTTTCTTATCATCACAAAGCATCTATACGCAGCTAACTTAAAAAAGGAGTAACTGCAAAGCACAGCCTCCCCCTCTGGCTTGTTAGCACAGGTATTTTCCCACGTTACAAGCACTAAATACTAGTATCAACCTAACGGGGATAAAAGTCTCTTTAGATTTCTAAGGCTCACTTTTTAAAAGGACACTGCAGACAACAAAAAACCCCAACCTGTGCATTAACAATTTTTTTCTCCCCAGTGTAAGGGTTCACACACTATTAGGGACGGGTTGCCACGTGTCTTTAGGAGTTTACACCACACTTAACCACTGGGATATCCAGAAACCCTGGAGCTGTTCAAACCACACACTTTTACAGTACCCTGGGCTTGGCTTCCCCTCTTTACAAAAGCTGTAACAAACCATCTTGCTTGAATTGTACCTTACTTTGTCTTGGCTAAATTGAGTCCCCTCTAAAACCCCGTAATTGTTGAAATGCCACTTAAAAATGACAAAGGGAATCAAAGCAGGGAATGATCTCGTTTCAACAGGGGAATATTTCTCTTTAGTCCTGAAGTACGTTCTCCCCTGAAAAGCAGCAATCTGCTGCCTCCAGTCTCATTTTTCCTACATAAAACTCTTCCTGACGGCCAGCCCTGCCCACGGTGGTCGCTGGGACCCAAGAGGAGTTACTCGGATGTGCCGTCACGCCAAGGCAGCTCTGCAGCCTAAACCAGGATTTCAGCAAAGCTGCACAGCATCGCTCTTTGTTAGGGCTTTAGCACCACCTACACAACCTGCCCTGAATGCCTATGCGCTTCTGCCAGGGACTAGGAAAAAAAATATCTATTTGTTCTATTGATGCATGAAGAGGGACAGTTTCCAACCCACTTCTGAGTGGCTCTGACACAAAAGCACCTGCCACTAAATCAAACATAAATAACTCCAAATAAGCCAAGCAGCTCCGCGGAGTAAGAGGCCGACATTTTAAGCAGCCGCTTTTCAGAGCAGAATAAACAACTTTAAATGCTTTACATTAAACACCTCTGGTGCCCCAAAGGGACCTTTATTTATAAAATATTGTGTACAAGTCACGAGAGGACCCCTGCTGCAGTCATGTATCCCGCAAGAGAAACGCGTGTGTGATTTCATTACAGAAAGTGATACCTCAGAGGCACTGTGTATGTTTATATTTATCTTTCCCATTTACATTCTCTACAATTTCAGTTCAAAAGCACCCATAGGGTATGTTGAATTTCAAAAGAAAAATCAGTCCTTTTCAGTTAAGAGGCATGTCTATTCTGCACAGAGCACACAATACCACAGCAAGGACTTTTCCCACAGTCAGAGCTTAATTACTCGGGGGACATGAAAGAGAAGCACTCACCGAAGCCTGCATCTTCTGTAGCTCCTTTAGAACAAATTCTACCTTTTTCTGGGTGGTGAGAGAAGCCAGCAGAGCGCCGTTGGATCTGCAGGAGAGTTTGGCATGATCGTAGTTCTCCTTCGCGTTTGTGATTTTCAAGCAGGAGTTGCCAACCAAATGCCAGTTTGTTCCGCAGATATTTTCTGGGGAGGGGGGGACGGGGAGGAACAAAGAGAAAGTCAACCCAGAGATGCAAGTGACCTTCACCACGTTCCAAGTAGTGAAAGAGCCCTTCCACCAAAAGAAAACCGACAGCCCCATCCCAAACCAGCACGACCGATCGCCGTGCTCAGGAGTGTGAGTAATCATAGCGGAGGAAAAGGAAAGCTGCTACGGGGAGCTGAAGGGCGCCATCAGCACCCACTGATCTGCAGTAGGTAGTGAAAGCACTTCTTACAACACCGAATAGTTAAAACTACTGTAGGAGAAAGAGCAAAAGGAAGCCAAAAAGTATTCTCTTGATGGCTTAAAGCCACTCATTCAACCACAGTTGTCAGGATACCTGTCGACAGAAGAGGGTTGTGCTAATCCTGTCCACGGCCCCGAAATTCCAGGATTAATCCCCATTTCACCTTGAGCACAGCCATGCCCGCTACTGAAGAACTCCTTATACTTTGTGGTTAATTATTTCCCTCACTCATAACTACCCTTACAAAAAAAAACCCCACCCCGCTGGATGTTTTCAGTGTGCATTTCTGCAGAGCTGATGCCCAGCTCCAGCGTCTTGGTTGAGATTTATCTGACAGATTGAAAAGCTCTCAAGTGTCAATTCTTCACATGGGCTCCTTACGCATACGATCAAGTCACCCCCTCTTTTCTACCACAAATTAAACAGACCGAGCTCTTTATCTATCTCATTAAAAGATGTTATTTTTGCTCTCACGGCTCTTCTCTGAAGCCTCTTCATTTTTTCACGCTTCCAGACTAGCAAATGCCAGACCTGGACTGGTCAGAGTTCCTAAGGGAAGGCTTTCCATGCCCATTAAAAGGTCCTGTCTGTGTTGTTTTTCCCCCCTTCCTATTTCATTAACGGCATATGTTAATCACTGAAGATACCATATTTCTCTCCCAGTCACCATGAAAAAATAAAAACCTTTCTACACGGGGACTAATAATCACCTCCTATGAGCTCCCACTGGAAACACTCATAATAAGAGAATTTTCCTTATATGCTTTAGGTGTTATTTGCCTAATTCGTCCAGTATGTGCCATTCCGCTTTTGCACAATTTTAGTTTCTAAAATTAAACAGCATGCATTATTAAATCTAGTATCTCGCAGAAGCCTATTATATCAACCATACTGCTTTTATCGAATGAAAAGAGAGACGTGAAATACAGCCTAATAATTATACAAATGATCATACTCCTCTTCAGACAACTGGGACTGAAAAATATTCCATCAGACTTTCCGAATTTACTAGAAATAAAGTTTCACCCCAAAGCTGGTATGATTAAACAACATTATTTGCTCCAGCTTAGCACTAAAAGATTACAGATTTGGGTGTAAAAAACCAAAAACAAACTAAAAAACCCCGACAACTTTTAGGCTGGGTGAATTTGTTGGGTTTTTTTCCCCTTACACAAACACAACCGATACCGACCTGGCAAAGCGATGCACTCCTGATTCCTAGGTTCCCACTGACAGTTTTGATCCATGGCACAGCTTTTACAACTTGTCTTTTTGTTACAGTAATAGGCTGGGTTATCCTTAGGACAATTGTCATATAGAGTAACAGGCACCTAAAATAAATTGCACAGGTGAGGCTTTTTCCCATCCAACCGATGCCGGTTTCTAACAGCCACGACTACCACACTAAACTTCACGGTTCAGACCTCCAAAGCACCCTGTGTATATATATTTATACAGTTTCAAAAGCTCTGACACTGGACGTAGCCTGTGCTGTGTATTCAAGACATTCCCACAAGCCACCACCTGACACATTTTCCTTACTGGAGCTTTGACCGAAGGGTTAGGTTATTTTCTTTCCTAGGGAAGGCTCTATCGATAGCAAACCCAAGTGGCTACGTGCCTTACTGACACCATCGTGAAACCTCCACCGCTTCCCCTGCCCACAGCCATCCTCCTCACTTAAGGGGAGAGTTCCCGGAAAAGCCCTTGGACCAACTTGAAAACAAATTCAAGCACGTTAGCAGCTTAGAGCTAGACATGCACTGGAAATAACGGGACGACAGGGGTCATAAGACTGACAGATGAAGGCATCTGATATCTCAAAGGCTAAATTTAAACTACAGAAGTATTAGAGAGACTTTACCTGTTCCTCTGTGCAGTTGTTATGCATTGAGATACACTGGTCAGTGCACCATTGACAGTTGTTTGTATTTGCTGTACAGCTATAGCAGTCTGTAATCTGATCACATTTTTCATTGTCTACAACTATTAAAGAAAAAAACCTGCATGACCAAAAACAGGCATTTCCTGACAGAGCTCTAAGAACTTGATTATATACAGCAAAAGATATAACCAAACAGTAGTGCCTGCAGATTTTCCGTTATCAGCTACTTAGTAAATCAGATACTTTCCTGCGATTGAACTGATAGAAAATTGCTTTCATTTGCAGCATCCATCATTTTTAGTGCCCAAGGAGCCGTAAAACACGCCACCAGAAAATGCACCAAGACATGGAAGCGCATGGACTAAGAGGGGACACGCATGTTCCGTCCATGCCCACGCCAACGACGCCAGAGGACATTTCACAAGGACGGGGGACATCTCCCACCGCGGGCCCGCTGCGCCGCGAGCCTGGCCTTCAATCACGCCGAGCATTTTCATGCAAAGCTTGAACTTTCCATTTCATCTTTTCCAATTGCTTATCGCCCGTGTTTTGTGAAAATTTATTGTACATTGAGAGCCCATCAAAGCAGTGTCCCTTTACATCAATTTCTTTTAAATAATTAAAGGCTGCCATCTATTACAGAATCAAGGTTCATATAATTCAATTCAGAGCAACGAATGCATCGGGGTAAAGAGTTGAAGAGTTGTTTAAAAATTATCCTAAGGGAGAACACAGGAATCGGACCTTAAACTTTTTTTGTATGCCCCTATCCATATGATACTGTAGAAGGAGAATTAAAGTAACTTTTCTTATAATACTCTTCCTGCTGTTTCTCTTGAAGAGCACAAGATAACACTGCAGGACCCGGTTCCCCCCACCCTCACCCGTGCCCCGTGGTGCTCATCAGCAAATTGCTGTCTCTCACAAGGTCAGTTCTCGGAGCAAACATCTACAGAGCAATGGTCCAGGCCTGAGTCCGGACTGATGATGTCTGTTTAGGATAGGAAAGTAAGTACAAGCAGTATGGTAGGAAAATAAAAATCTAATGAGCAAGCAGCTTCAGGGGGAGTGAGAGATGGCAACATCTCCACGTCACTGGTCCGAGGAAGGTCTCCCAGGGCACGTATGGAAGCACAACTACAGCCCTCCATCGTAAACTTGATCTGATAATGGCATAAAACTAACGTAAGACCGAATTTGGAAAAGAAAAAGCCCCCACGTGCCTTTTGGAAAGGGGAACGGAAAGAACGCGACACATACCTGGCCTGGGAGGACAGTCTTCAAAGACCTTTTGCTGCTGCTCTACCGTCGCCATTTCCCAGGGGACGCAGAGAGCGGAGGCAGCGGCCCACACGCATCTGACGCCAGGACCTGCTCGCAAGCAGGCCGTTTCGTTGTCAAAAGCTTCACATCTCTCGGGTGTGTACTTCAGTATGTCACTCAGGAGGAGGCTGTTGAAGCCTCCAAATACATACATGGTGCTAGACAACACGGAGGGGAAGATATCAGTGTTTGTGCCTGGGTTTATAAGCCACGCACCGCTGCAAGCCAGTGTGATTCAAGGAGCGAGCAAAGTGGGTTTTATTACGTTCCAGCACGTATAAATCCAAATCAATAGCTCCTGGTTAAGGAAGGCACTAAAGAAAAGGTCAGTCTGGTTCCACTGCTTCAGAGAAGCCAGAGACTCTCAACACACGGGTGTGGAGCCCCAACCAAACCTATCCGAGGTCACGGACCGACCTTCGCCATCAGCCAAAACTCCGGGTGACACCTGAGCAACGCGACTATACCTGAAACGCTCCAGAAATGTGGGATCCTCCTGTAAAGACCAGGGACAAGAGAGGAAGGAAGGCTAAAGATCGGGCATATGGTATCACACCGTTAAATCAGCGTTCAGAAACTGTGACAAAACAATTCAGTGTTGTCACAACTTGTTACATCGCTGTGACAAAACCACAGTTACTTTCGTGGCTGTTGGCAACTGCGCAAGGAGTCAATGTGCCAGCTAAAAAAAAAAACAACCCCCAAAACCCAAACCCCAAAACAAAATAACATTTGGGGCGGGGGAAGAATGTGTTTTTTAAAACCCTCTTTAGTGTCACAACGGCTTCAGGCAAAACTTCAGATTTCATTAGTTACACAAAATGCCACCCAAAACCCTCTGTGCTTTCATGGTTGCAAATGCACAGTTCAAAAGACAGTGAAGCAGTGTCAACACAACTGAAAATAAAAGTTTTTGTTGAATAAGAAGTACTTTTAATATGATTTTCATCCTATCCTAGGAAAGAACTAAAGCACAGGCTTAATTGTCCTTCATGGGAGCAAAACGTACAGCTGGCATTCAGCATGCACTGAAACAAGAAGGTGCTGAGTGAGACTTCAGAGACAAAAGAAAGCATCTAGAAGCACATCTTCCTTTTCAAGGCAGTGACAGTTATCTGCTTGGCTTAAACTAAGCTTTAAATAATGTTACTGCTTTACAGAAAGTATCCTCAAAGGACAACGGAGCCAGAACGAAAGGCTCCTAAAAAGATCACTTCTCAGACTCCAACACAGGAACAGATGTTCACCTGAAAGCACACTATTACTACAGTGATATAATGCTTAACGACAGAAACCTCACCCGCGATTTCACCTAAACAGTGTGCATCATGTGACTGGTAGAAGAACCACCACCCAGGATACGCCATGTAAACTGAAACATGGACAAGTTTAGAAACCACGAGGGAAGGCAGGATTTGGAGATAAAAGTTGTCAGTGCAGCGAAATAAGAAACAGAAAAATGAAATAAATTAAATTATGAAATAAATAAAAAATAGAAATATCTATAGAAATATGAAAAAGAAAAAAAAAAAAAAACAAATTTTTGAACCAACTAAGTGAGCTGAGACAGTTTAGTCGAGTGAAAAAGGGCTGACAGGAACACACGGATACTGAAGGCATCACGAGAGTGAAGATCTGAGAACTTTGGAGAGGTTTGCAACGGCTCCTCAACCCTCTGGTCCTCTGGTCTCAGTGTTCCTGATCCACCTGTTATCGACCCACACGTGCACCAACACACACCGGCGTGTAAGTTTACGGGGGTATGAAAAACACCAACACCCCCCCCCAGCTTGGTTGCGGCCTTACCTGTTGTAGAGCACGGCAGAATGTCCAAACCTGTTCACGTCGTGATGGAGACCCGGGCGAGGGAGAACAGACCATCGATCGCAAGCTGGGATTAAGGAAAGCTCATCTCAGAAAAACTTCTCGGTATCATTAACGCCTCCACTTACACAGCACATTGCTTCCCGAAAGATCCCAGAGCACTTAATAACCACAGAGGGGCCATTCCACCCACTACAGAGGGACCATTCCACCCACCACCCGAACGCAAGTCCCGAGTGAACCAGGGCAGTTTACAAAAGCGCTGCTTTATCTTTTTGCCAGATTTAAGACTTCCGTCTTCACCCCGGCTGCCCCGCCGTGACAAAAAGGGAAAGGAAGGATGCCACGGCTCTGCCCCATCAGCTAAACAGCTCCCGACAAAGGGAAGTTTCGGGGCATTGTGTCAAAGGGCTTCTTAGGTTTTTTTGGCAATCACGTGTCGTTAAATGGCGGCGGCTTCACTTGCTTTTTCTCCTTTACCAGTGGAATTTTTCACTGCGTAACAAGTTCGGGTTTTATCTGTTTATATGAGAATTATACACAGTTTTGCCCCAAACCAGTATCACTGAGAACAGAGATTTATCTTTTTTTTTTTTTCCCTTTCATTGCAATTATGTTCCTAGAGGGTAGATATCCATGTTTTTAAAAACATTTTTCACTTATCATAGCTTAAGGATTTGTGGTTGTTTTTCTCTTTTAATATAATGTGAGATTATTCCATCTTTTTCTATTAGCATAACATTTATAAGTTCTGCTTCATTTTTTACTCCATTTCTCAGGTAATTTCTTCCTTTAGGCAGCAGGAAAAAAAAAATAAAACAAACCCAAGAAACACATAACCCACTGAGCAATCAAAGGAACAAACCCAGGAAAAGTCAGCCCAACTCCTACCACCTAAACTTTGTAAAGTGAACGGGATCACCTTGGGGGCTAACGGCCCAGATGCAGTTGCACACAATTTATGCAATTAAGACAGAAAAGTCAATCTGCTGTAAAAGATCTACAGAGCCCTCCAACTCTCGGAGTTTCTTTAATATAAGATAAAACTGTTGTGCCATGGGCTGAACCTCTGGAAAAAACAAGCCTACAAACCCAAATTAGTATGTGGATAAACTGACGAGGCAAAGAAAAAACAGCCTTATTAATTTTTTACCCAATTTAATCAGAGAATTGTGGGGTAAAACAACTGATTCTAACCTCTGCTCCAGCAGAAACTTTTGTTCGAGAGTGCTGATGAACAAAAGACATAGGACCCAGTTGGTTGGATTTAATACTTTGAGAAATTATGATTTTGAAGTTTATTTTTAAACGTCATTTGCTCGATTTTCAAAGAATTTAACCTTGCCCAGCATCACTCCTGAGACAAGCATGTATGGTTCCAATTTTTAACAGAAGACTTCAGCAAAATTGGACAGCAATTTGCAATTTTTTATTCATCAAGTGGTGAGTTATGTGAGGCCAAGAAACATATTTTCCTAGATTAATAGAAGGCCTGGAATGTTTTGCTTTCTAAGCTTCTTTCCCATCTTTAACTGAAGATCAAGTATTGGAAAAAATGAATAATTCTGAAACTTCAAAGAATTTTCTCCTTCCTGACTTACGAGTTAAGCCAAGCCTAAAACTTACAGTGCACAGGATTTATTAAATATAATATTCCAATAGAACTGATATGCTATGAAAACACCCAGCCTCTTTCTATGTTTGTCATCAGACCTCAAGTTTTGATGGGGTAAACAGAAGAGTTTTAATTTCTCTCCTGTGGGGAGAAAAGACCATTATACGAGTCTAGCCTTTACGTGAGTATTTCACGCTGAGTTTTAAAAAAGAAAAATCCAACACAAAACCCCATAAACTTAAAACTTCCTTAGAAATTCAAAAGTGCGGTTACTTAACCCACAGTAACGGCATTTTGAGACAACCTGCCTGTGAAGTTTCTATTCTCCTTTTAGCCACATCCCACGCGCAAGGGAGGCGACCCTACGGAAAGCACAACCCCGCCTTCGCGCTCCTGGAGATGACCACGTAGCGATGGAGGGGCTGCAGCTCTCACTCGGCTCCTTTGCTGCTATGAATCATTGACAGGAGGAGGTAGAGGATTAAGTCAGGCATTAGTCCACCCAGAGACAAAACTGCTGCAGAGCAGGAAACTTCTACAGAGGCCAGAGAGACTAGTTGGGGGGATAGGAAGTGCTGAGAAGTCATCGCCGGGTGCAGAACGTAGGGGAAAGACTGTGAGACTGCTCTACCCAAGCGCTCACCCAACCCGAAAGCTTGTCCTGAGAAGCAACAAGAAATGCCCATGCACACAGGGAGCTGGACTGCTATCCTGAAACCTTCCCAAACTGGGCATTACTTGGACAGCTTGGCTCAAACCAGACAACTGAATATGCCCCAAGCTGGTCAAGTGGAGGATAAAAGGATAAGGAGCATTAATGCATTCTCAGATCTAACTAACTTGATAAAGCCCCCGAGAATCTCAGTACACATCTCAGTGACGTCTGTTTGCATCCCACACACACACAAAAAAAAAGAAGATAATGTGTCCTCACAACACTCGGTGCGTGCGGTCTGATTACTTAGAAATTTGAGGAGAGAAAACCAGAAAAATTTGACGAGGTAAATAAAACGAGTTACTGCAGAAACAGGTTGTAATGGCAAAGGTTAAAGAGAAGACCTGTTTCTGAAGCCTTTATTTTAGACTGCATTTTAATTTCCATTTTCTCCAGTCTTCCAACCATCACTATGATCACTAAGATACTACCTTCATCAACAAGATGTTAAAAATGAGCAAATTAGCCAGACAGCGTACTGTAAAAGTAGGGAGAGAGACAGCCAATTACTAAGCCTCTCCTCCAAAGGCACGTGGTACCAATGGACCTTGCTGCTTGGCTTTCTCCTGGGTAGCTTGAGCCTTGGGAGCACCAGGGGATAGATAACAAACACGTAAGCATGTTAATATTAAAGATGTGATGGCCGTATCCATCTGTGGTGGCACGGCCACAACAGCCTTGGACATTTGCAATGCTTCCCCACAGGCTTATTCCCATGGAGACCAACATGGACATGATCAATACAATAATTCCTGCAGATATCATGAGTGAAAAACCACCAAATGGGTGTTCCCACTGTGCCACTAATGATCAGCCAGCACCCTAACGTACTCCTGGTAGTGCTCCTGGTCCAATGGCATCAGGCAAATCGTGCATAAGGTGTCCTGCCATGAAAAGAATAGAAAAAAAGTGTTTTTTTCTGAAAAAAGGCTGCTCTGTCCAGGCTGAGAGTCTCTGCCCTAAGGAACGTGGGTACCCAACAGCACTGGAACAGCTCTCATCCCCGTCACATGAAGTGCAATCAATGCAAGGTCCCATTCCAAGTGTAAACCCGGTAAGGACTGAGCGAGTTGACTACAACACTTATTTCGTGCCACAGGAACCTGCCTGTTAATGACACTGAATCAAAACGAACATAATGATCGGCGTATTTCGTCAAATCAATGCAATTTGTGTTTTACACCTAACAGACAGTTGGATGGGTCAGGGAAGACAGCAAAATGCAGTAAGAAAAATCTATTGCTATCAAAGTTTTGAAAAATTACTCTGTCCGTGACTGTCAAAATACCTCATTTTGATTCTTCAAGAAAAAAAACTCAAAAAAAGCTGGCTAAGGGCACACAACAAATTCCACAAGGATACGACTTGAAATCTCTGGAAGCAGAAGGGAATGACCCCTGTAACAGGCAGCAAAGCAGCACAAGGATTCCAAACCCTGCTGCTGAGAGTAATCCATTCGCTTGCATACTCCTTTCACAAACCAGGAGTGACATCTCAGCGGACAGTCGCCCCAAGAATTCAGGTTTACACGATTATTTCAGGGAATCAATCACGAGAGCCCACATTTAAGGAATTCTGAGAGCAGAAGGCAGAGTGTGACAGGAGTACAGAAGGGTGTTTTTCTCCAGCGTGAGTTATCTGGATGTACACGCACCTTCTTTTTATATAACTTCACCTCTTTTCTTCCTCTTAAATGCACCGTCTCTGGACTCCAAATTCACAAAGAAATGCTGCCCTCTCCTGGCTACTCAAACTCCTCCAAACCCAATCCTTCCAAATAAAACCTAACCATTTGGCTTTACTGTTAAATAGCGCTTATGGGGATCTTTACGCTTATAAAGCACACATATAAACAAACTGATATTACAAACAGCTCAGCCAAACAAGGGCGTGCAACGGACGAGCTGAGCTTCAGCAGGGTCCAGCGCCTGTAACTGCCCTAACAGCCTGCAGTTTTCATAAATCAGAGAGTAAAACACACTCAAAATATCAGGATAGCTTTCAGCTGAGATGGTAGAACAATATGCTTGCTGTTTAAGAACTCGTTTTTAATGCCCAAGGTTGTGTATAAACTGTTGACCAAATAACTGCTGCTGTATTTGCCTTGAAATCACTGCACCAGCTCATTTGCTTGGTAATGTGTACCAGACTAAATGAGCCTCTCCTGATTACACATTCTTCCGCAATATGCTTAGTAGCTTTTGGTATAATACACCCAGCATGTAAATCAGTCATTCTGAAGACTGAATATCCAAGAATTTATTTTTTTTTATTATTATTTCTGCAAGAACTTACCAATATCGTACGCCATAAAATCTGAAGAAAAGCACTTTGCGCCGTGGCTCATGGAGGTGTCGTTGTGCGTGTTTCCTCCAAACACCAGCATGGTTCCACTCATTATCACAGCCGTATGCAAATAGCGGAAAAACCGACTGTCTTTAAGAATTGTCCTGCAGAAATCAAAACAGAGGTGTTAACGAGACTGATTGGTACCTGGCAAAGACAAAACGATCCATAAATCCACGTCGAAGCAGGTTTCGGGGGTGTAGGGAGGAGGCGGGGGGGATATTATTTAACTACTTTTTCTAATGGGGTATTTAACAACTTTCTTTCCAGACTGTTCAATTCCTCCTGAAATTTCCTTCTCTCATCTTCCCATCTGCTTGCCAATTTATAGAAGAAATACATCTACAAAAGCCTCTTGCCAAAGCTAGGGATCATAAAATCATCCATTCCTTCCCGAGGGATTATCAAGTTTTCACACTAACTGGGCTTTTGAGCGCAGTCAGCTAAACCTGCTGACGTGGGCACCGCCTGGGAGGACTCCGGTGTTTTATAGTCACCTACAGAATTCTTTCAAACTGGGCGTCATCTGTTGCTCAAAGCTAAAAAACCTGTTTTAAGGAAATCCACGCAGCTGCTGATAACGGAGCCCCGCAGCTGAATGCCTGCAAAAATCACCTCACCCACGACTAAATCATGGGAGGCATCAACCCATAAACAAAGATCCATAAACAAATCCATAAACCTCATCTTTAACGGCGCTGAACACAAAGGCTCACCCTTTGCAGAACGCCCCTAGTGTTTGGAGAGGGTGGGATTGCGGGAAAATCCCGACTCGGCCACACGGTTTGCAGGTTTGTCCCACCAGCTCTGCACACCAGCAGCCTCCCAAACGCAGCTTGCGCTGAAGCCCAGGCTTTCACAAGCAAATATTCAGCAAATGGTCTATCAAAGAGCTGGACCAGGGACTCGATCCTAAGGCACGAGCAGCGGTATCACCGCACGCAGGGGCCTTACTCCGCCCCTGCCAGGGCTACAGTGTCAGACTGGGAAGCCGCCAGTTGAACGGGGAGACAGATGCTCGGCAAAATAAAGATCAGGGGACCGCTTCTTTGCCCTTCCATGAAATCACAAGAGGGAGAAAGGGCCTAAATTGCTGAAGAATTAAAAAAAAAAAAAAGGAGTCAACGACACCAAAAAAATGTATAAAGATGAGCAGACACTCCCATGCGCCTCGCTGCAGGGCGACTGCTTGCCTGTTCCGACAGCCCTCTCGAGACTGACAAAATAAATGCGACGAAAGGCAGTCGGCGCTGCAGCGGTTTGGAAGAACATTGTCCCGTTTGTGGAGTTTTCTGCCCGTTCAGGCAGATCCGCCCGCTCCACGGCTGAAGCGGAGGATCACGTGAACCAAGAAAGGAAGCGTGGTTATTACTGCGTGTACCACGGAGCGGGAAGGAAGGTTTTTGGACATAATAAATTAGTCACTATTTACTTCACTCATCACTATAGACTCACAGAGAGTTGTTGCAGAAAGAAATTGTTTTAAACTCTCAAAAAGAGAGATACAGTGACTGAAATTTATGTGTGTTAATTTATGTGTGATAGTCCCCTTCTTGTCAGGAGCCTTTAAAAACAACTTTAAGAAAAACAGAAGAGTGAGGAAAATCTATTTCACCTCTACAGCTCAAAAGTTGTGAAATGTTGCTAACGCTTTTTAATAAAACCCACCTTTGGGCAGAAACAAATCGCAGAAGATTTCAGCTTAAGAAATGAACATTTCAAGCAGTTACAGAGCCAGACGAAAATGGGGTTATAATAGAAATTCCTTTACAGTCTTAACTGCAGAATGAATTATCACTCACTTGACTGCAGTAACTGCACTCATATGCACAGCCTGTACTGCTGGCAAGAAAATCCCATCTAATATTTTTCTTTTCGGCTTTAATACAACAATAGATTAGAATGGGTTTCTTGGCTCGTTCACAGCCTTGAGTATATGTGATTACATGATTCTCTATTCATAAAGGGACATAAAAATATCAGATACAAGAGCACAATCTCTCTCCTGAATGCAGGTAACTCTGTCCCTACTGTACCCTCACCAAATGCCCCATCCTCTCGTCCACTACACACAAAAATGGTATACAGGAGGGAGAACTACTCACCACATACGAGAATCAACTTCATATTTGTACAGGTCATCTGCCAGCCGGTATTTGTTGGCACTGAATGCTTTGTAACCTCCATGGATATAAATTGATCTTGTGTTTGGATCATAAACACTGCTGTGACCATACCCTCCTTGCACCAAAGCTCCGCTCGTCTGTAAAATGTTCCACGTGTTTGTGGCTGAGAAACGAAAAGCATGAGGGACAAAAACATGGTTTATTTCTCTCGGTTAATAACTTATCCACGAATCTGGCGGTGAAGCAAACTGGGTTTCCCTTGACTCAGATCTAGACGCTGTCTCTAGCACTTCACATCCAAAAATATTCTCCTTCAAGGAGTTTGCTGTCAAGAACTATCGTCAACTTAATTAGATCAGAAATGCCTCTTCTACAGTCATTTGTTACATTTTGCAGACGAGCTAAGTAAATGAGAGACAAAAAGTACAGAAACAATATATGGTATTTCAGTGACATGACAATGCTAGCACCATGCCTTGATTTGGAATGGTACCCAAGAGCACTTTTATTTTATGTATATAAAGCCAGACTGCACTGAAGCCAAGTTAAGTATGACTGTGAAGAACACTGCAGATAAAAACTAATATGTGACTAATGGCCCTATATCTCACTCACTAAAATAACATTGGTTTGAAGCACTCTAGACACAATATAACGGCAACTGAAACAAAAACGCCAAATTAAACACCAATTCTCTGCAGCAAGCGCAGAATGAAACCCTACGCAGGCTTCCTATCTCCAGGGCAGATCGGGCACAGAAAAGGCCAAGGAATTTAACAATCTGCAGGATCACCCATGGGAAAAAAAAAGAACAGTACAAAAATAAATCACTGCCCCACGTATCCCGCTTTTCTCTAGCTTTCCCCTAGAGGAAGAAAGCTCATTCATGCGGACACCGGTGAGCCAGAGTAGGCTCCAGCAGTTCCTCTGGATCAAGATGACCGAAGGACAAGGTTAACAGGTCAGAAGTGCAGACAGGGGCACTACTTCTGACAACCACCAGCACGTTCTCATTGTGAACTTCCCGTGCTTAACTACGTTCTCTACCCGGTCAGACGTGCCTCCACTGAGCCATTTCAGATCAGCTAAGTCAGGCAGAAGTTCAGTTCATCTGGAGAGCTGGTGATAGTGGGAATCTCTGGATCAGAATGTGGACTATTCCCAGAGACAAGGGGGGACCAGATTGTATACGGGAGCCCAGAAATCCACTCCCTGTTCCCCTAAGCGTTGGCTGATGGCCACCACTGCAGACAGGGGTCCTTCGTTCAGCAGATACTTGGTCTGAATTGTTCCAGCCGTTCTCGTACCCGCAGGATACAAAAACAATATCAAAAACGCTTGCTTTGTCAGAGGGAGAGAGGAAAATGAAATCTCAATTGTCCCACTTTGTCCTCTAAATTATCCTGCTTTGTCTCCCAATTACAGCTTTTTTTGTCTTTGGGACCTAACAAGCTGTGTAAAGCTGGAGGCACGCAGCTGCCCGCTCACTGTTTGTGTTATACAAACACTGGAAGTTAGACCCAACTTCTTTGTAAACACAAACAGAAGGAGAACATATCTGTCTTTGTTTTGCTACGTGAATACTTTTCCAACCAACTGTTAAAACAAGCGACTGGTAAGGAGGGCCCCACTCACCCAGGCTGTACTCCTGGACGTTGCTGATGTACCCGTAAAGAGGGCAGTGCCCGAAGATGACGAGCATGACCACGCTGCCGTCTCGCAGGGTGACGATGTGGGCCGAGTGGCCAACCACGGCGTACTGCTCCTTGGCTTTCGGCGTCGCCTGAGTCCAGGTCTGGCTGGGAATGTGGAACACCCACAGCTGGCTGGTCACGTTCCCCGTTGCATCTATTTTTCCACCATACATGTATATATCATCCTGAGAGAAGTCAGATTTAAAATGAGGCCAATGAGCTGGGCATTTAGGAAACAGCTAATATGTAAGTAATGAAGTTATTGTATTTTATCTTCTCGCAGCCTAAGTTTTTCTCCTCTCCCAAGGAGAAACCCATCTCCTTCGCCAATCACATTTGATATGAAAGCAATCACGACTGCCAGGGTTTGTGCCCCAAGTCGACAATGTCTTGAAGATTGTCTCTAACGAAGAATACCTTCAACACACACAATTCAGCCTACATCAGGGTATGGAGGGGAAGGTGTGTGTGGGGCAGGACTGGCCTTCAGATGACAGGCATCAAAATTTAGGTGCCTGTATGCTAGCTGAGTGTCATATATATATAAATATATATATATATATACACATATAAAAATATAGTGGAGCGTGGAGAATAATTCAACTGATCAAAAGTAGGGAAGGTGTGCCTACTCTTGGGCGAGCTGACTTGCTCTCCAGATTCCACTACCTGTACTAACTAGGTCTGTTTTCACTATAAACGGAGCTCAGAGGCTCCCAAAGGCACCCAAAGTTAGGCACCTGAAGCCAGGTGATTTAATAAGCAAACTGAACCCCTCCCACAGCTTGCAAATGCAAACAGCAGAAGACGGCTGGGAAGAAAGGTAGTTATGAGGGAAACTCCTTGGTGTCTGTACGCTGAAAGCTTTGTCTTTCAAGTTAATGCGCTGCCAAAAAAAATGAGGACCCTTTGGAAAGAACGGAGCCAGGATAGTCAGACAGGGTTTTAGTAATCATCCTGTAAGAGTTAAGTTCCAAAACTCTCTCGAGTTTCCTTTGTGGGTTTCTCCAGGCATCTGAGAGTCAGTCGAGAACCCACCGAAGCGTGTCGCAGAGCCCTGTTTACCTGCTGACAAGGAGGTAACCTCGGAAAGGGAAATTCTCTGCTACAGCTTGTGCTTCTTGGGAAATTCCTGAGAACCACTGACGGTAAACCCACTTATCACAGAACCGTTTAGGTTGGAAAGACCTTTAAGATCATCAAGTCCAACTGTAAACCTAACACAGACAAGCCCACCACTAAACCATGTCCTTAAGTGTCACATCTACATGTCTTTTAAACACCTCCAGGGACGGTGACTCCACCACCTCCCTGGGCAGCCTGTTCCAGTGCTTGACAACGCTTTCAGTGAATAAATTCTTCTAACATCCAACCTAAACCTCCCCTGAAGCAACTTGAGGCCACTTCCTCTCGTTGTATTGCTTGTTACTTGGGAGAAAAGACCAACACCCACCTCGCTACACCCTCCTTCAGGTAGTTGTAGGGAGCGATAAGGTCTCCCCTCTGCCGCTTTTTCTCCAGGCTAAAAAAACCCCAGTGCCCTCAGCCGCTCCTCACCCTTCATCAGCTTCACTGCCCGTCATCAGACAAGATCCTTCTTTTGGATCACACCTTACTTTTGAACAGTTATTTGCACTGAGCCCTCGCAGGAAGGAATTTCCATCTTTCTCAGGCTCTTCAAGTGCTCTGTTTGGGAACGGTGCTGCGTAAAGTTTTTCAAGTGTTTATAATTATGCTTTATATAGGCTTGCACTGTGATGAGCTAATTAACATTTGAAAATCAAAGGTCAGTAAAGGATTAGCTCATTTCCTTTTCAAACCCTTTGCTATTCTGCTCTCACATGGCCTGCACCCACAGCAAGGCATGCAGCTCAGAAATGAGGTAAGACACAGCCCAATCCACTTGCTGTTTCAGATGCTGGAAGACGAGATTCACGTGAAGCCAAGGAGAGCAGGCTCCAAAAATCCCTAATCCACCAGCTTTGCTTTGGTGCCTCGGACAACAGAGCTCATAAAAATATTTATGTGGTCTACACAAAAGGCAGTTGGGGAACCAGCTGAACTCCAGTAAACCCTAGCCCTGAGGCACGTCTAGTAAGCACCGAGAGTAAGAAGGAAATAATGGACTCGCTGACCTCAGTCAGACTTAAAATCTCTGAGAAAAGGGCAAAGAAGGAACACACAAGCAAAGGCACTACAGGCTTCCTAGGATGCCAGTCCAAGGACTCCCTGGAGTGCAAGTACACACACTGGGCTAACCACGGGCAAGCCTTTGAATGAGCAATGCTTCTCCCAAAGCAAGAGCGATCCGTGAAAAGGGGTGGGCGGGGAGAGAAGAAGGGGAAATCAGCCGGGAGGCGAGTCTGCAGCACTGAGCGTACCTTATGTAGTGCCAACGAATGACCATATCTCATCTCCACGGAGTTCACAGTGTTGTCCAGTGGAAGCCACTCTTCAGAAATAAGATCATAGCTGTGCAATAAAAATTGAATTAATTATCTGAGAAGTAGATATTGAAGTCGAGAAAATTATTGCTCATCCTTTCCAGGATTTGTGGGAAATTATTTGGTTTAACAGAAGTCCCACCAAGATTTCAGCATGCACAAAGCACTCCCAGACTACTTAGGGATGAAAAAAGTCCAGTCAAGCCTGCTCTGTTGTCCATGTATTGATTTGCTTTACCCTGAGTTTTCTTTCCCATGCAAAGCCAAGAACTAACACGCTGCCTATTACGCTACAACAACTTACACACATGATCCACCCAAAAGCGCAGGAAGACTTTACGCTCAGCTCAGGTAAGTTCCAACCACTTGATAAAAGGAAAAATGCCAGTGTTTAAAAGGCATTTTTAAATTATGTCTTTGTCATTCAAGCGTATTTTTTCGGTGAACTCAAAACAAGATTAAACCCTTTGCCCTGAAAATGGCCTAAACGCCACTCCCTGTTTGGCATCCCATGCATAAACGTCCACAGTAATCAGTATGTATTAATGAAGGAGCCAAACACTCTGAAGTCACACAGATATAATAAAAGGAGGGGCTAATAACAGAGAAGCAGAACTACTCTCATTGAATACGAGGCCAGATGTAATTTAGAAGCTAGCCTAGAAATATACAGCAAATAGTTAAATGCTGTCAGAAGCAGATGAATCAAAAAACCCCTGAACATTCGGAACGTTACACTTTTTCTTTTCCAGAACTAGCACCCCTTAGCACTGTTTTCCCACATCTCCAACATGAGTCTAAGCTTTTATTACTGCCCTGCTCCCCTGGAGATGGAGCGTAGGCCAAAGCACAGCACGTCAGATGGCATTTTCTAAAAATAATTCTCAAATCTAAGTTCCTCTACTTAGACTTTATTATCTAGGTTTATACTCACGCTAAAACCCTCTGAGAGTCAGAATGATTGAAGACATAGCCTCCAACGATCCACATTTTATTGTCATGGATTACGGTTTTGTGAGATGCTCTAGGAAGTTTTGGAAGAGAGTATTCCTCCCGGGTCCAGAATGACTGGTTTGCAGGAACAGGAATTGAACAGCCAGGACCTGGGGAAAATAAGGTTTAAAAATTAAGCTGATTTTTTCCAAAGGCTGTATTTCAGCTAGAGGTCACCATCCTGCACCACAGGTGACAAAGATGCTGCACGGCCAGGTAACACGTGGAGGCTGCGATCCTTGTCTCCTTGCCCACACCAGCAATCTGTGATGACCTGATGTGCAACCTCCCAGCTGTAACCACAAACTTCGAATTTAAAATTGTTTTCAGGACTAAACAGCAGTTCCAGATTAGATGAATCGGTGATGCAGCAAAGCAGCCACTCCGCTCTGTTCCCCCTCGCTGTGATTATACGGGGGCACAGTGCAGACCCCTTCCCGCTCCACACTAAGGGGGTATCTTCCAGCACTTCTCTGGCTGCCATGCACCCACAAAAGCCCCAACACAACCTGTGAAAGCTTCAGGAGACCTGCTCAGCAGCATGCTATAAAACCCCCAAGGGTCTAGGGCTATCTTTCCCTCTTTTCATACCTCTCCTTCTCAGAATTGTTTTTGTGAATCGTTCAGTTCTTATTTTTTCTATATTTCCGCTGTTTTTACACCAACTTTTCCCCTGCCAGGCTTCCCTTCACAGTTCCCCGCGGCGTGGAAGAAGAGAAGCCGCAAGCAGCAAGGTCTCAGCAAAGGAAAAAGCCGCACGGATGCTCTCCCTTCTTCTCAGTGACACCCATCCACACACAAAGGGTTACCACAGACAACGGAGAAAACAGAACCTGCTGAAGCGGCTCAAGGCTTGAAAAGGGAAAAGGTTTATCAGGACAGCCTTTAGGCAGTCATAAAAGTGAATCACCGTGTAACAGAGTTGTGGTTTCAACTGTAAGAGACAGCATCTGCTCGTTCTTGCAGAGTTCCTACCAGCAGTCATCTCCAGTTCAGGAAAGCAGACTGGAATCTGGTTTATCACCCTTGAAAAACTCCTGGTTTCTGAGGTACAAGTGACCATTTTTGGATGTAAAAAAGCTTCAGAATAAGAAAGGGGAGAGCAGCTTGGATCTCATTCTGCTCCTGTTTGTTTTGGGGCTTTGGGGGTATTTTTTTTGGTGAGTTATTTCAGTTTGGGTTTTTTCCCCTTACACACTAACCTGCTATAGAAATGAAACACAGGGGAAAACGAGGTAGGCTAAAAACTGAGCAAACATAAGCCCACCTTTGGTCAGCACACAACCAGCCTCCAGAAAAGCATCAGGAGGCACTGCACTGCACAAGGGGATGTGGCCTGCCAGCCCTGGAGCACATTACCCGCGGCTGGTTTGATACGTGAGAGGCAGACGGGCTCACCTCAGTACTGGGTGCACTCATCCTCCTCAGGATACCCATTTTGGGTTCTCCCCACAGCACCTAACACACCGTCTGGCTTTGCAGCACAGCCGAGTGGTGGCAGCAGGCGCTGCCAGCGCTGCAGCTGCTTGTATTTCACGTGAGACTAATTCTTCCACGTCAGTGTATCTTTGCAAAGGAATCATGTACGTTTGCTCCGAACTGTTGCCGAGACTGACGCGGCTGACCAGCACAGCTGGACATGAGAACAAGGCATTTCGTCTGTTCAAACAGGTTAACTCCTGCCACCAAGCTCAAATTTGCTTTAGGTGCAACAGGAATGAGATTTACAGCTTTCACCTGACACCCGCACACAACAGGTTGGAACTGCTTCGTGCGGCAGCACAGTTGCTTTTAAAAGCATTTGTTACAAATGAAGTATGACCTTTTGATATAAAAAGCTAGATACTCTGTTCTGCTTGACAGGCATTAGCATTTTGACCAGGAACACTCCCAAATACCCCCAATCCAACTGCAAGAGCCAGGCCTAGAAAAGGAATCCAAGAGCTTCTCAGTATTAACCAGGAGACCCACCTTGCCAGCCTGCAGAGCACGAACACGCCTTGGTGTCGTTCAAGTTGCAATGCCCTCTCTCGGGCGCCCCGCAATCCTCTGTGCAGTAGGGAATATCACAAGCTTCTCCCTTCCAGTATTTGGCACATTCACATTCCAGAGCATTGCTGCTGTTATTGAGCTTGCACTCTCCTCGGCCCGAGCAATTATTGGGACACATATTGAAACTGCGAACACCAGGGAAAGAAGGTTTGTCAGTAAAGAAACGGATTCCCAAGCCGTACCTCTTATTAATGGCCACAGGAGTGATGCTGAACAAAAGTTAATAAAGCTGCTGGTTAACGTACAAACCAACGAGAGCTGCTCAGCCAGAACCTGATGCGAGGGACCTGCAGATATTGGTTCTCTGTCTGCCATCTACAGAGCTGCCTCACTTCATGAGTTAACCTTACAACTCCTCTGCAGAATTATCAAGAGATTTTTCACTTATTTGTAATGCAAATGAGTTGCCTTTAAATGCCCAACAGTAAGTAAGAAGAACGTAATCAGTGCTTAAGGCTTCTGTGGTGTCTGTGCAATTTATACTTAAACTACTCACAATTAAGTGATATTCTGGGATCTGCTTACCAAAGGAACACACTGGAGACGAATCCCAAGCCAAAGATGTGACTGTTTTGAATCATTTCTAACTTTATAAAGATCTGCACTGTAGCTGAGGTAAAACCAGGTACATCCTTGGTGCAGATCCAAATTCAGAGACCCTATTCATCTCCAAATTCCAGGTTTTGCCAGTGTACCAACCAGTATAAACCACAGATGGGGATTACTACCCAATATCCTCACTGTCATGCAACAGGTGGAGTCACTGGCTCCAAGACTCTAATTTCACAAGTGTTTGTCAAATACTTACCTCCAGTAGTAACTATAAGGACTGTTAAACTGAAAACAAACAAACACACCCTTTTATCTACTCTCTGAAAAAAACGTTAGGAGGAAATGTAACGACCAGAACACAAGGAAGAAACAAAACATAAAACAGCACTAGAAAATTGTTAGAAATGATCAAGAAAGCAAAGAGTTAAAGAAACATTTAAATATCTGAAAGGAACTTAAAGGAGGCCGGTTATTCTTTAAGAGAACGTCTCGGTTGTACTGCAGCGGTGCAATACGGACGGCTGGCGGTAGATGGTGTCACTGTTCACGGTATCAGCCAGACTTTCAAAATGCTGTTGCTTCACCTGTTTCAAGTTACTTCATAAAGGCTCCTCGTTTTCTTCGGGCGCTTTCAAGGGGTGCTGAATGTTCTCCGTTTTTCAAAGAACCCACTGTATATTTAAGTGCTTAATAAGGACGAAAGCACCAAGACTGGTATTCAAACCTTAAGCACCTCATTTCAAGGGAAACTTTCAGTTTTTGCAAAAAGTCAGCTGTGGCCAAGGATTTTGCAGCGGAGTTTTTTTTTGAAAGAAAGGTGAGAACTTCCGCAAGTTACACCCAAATCAGAATCTCCCAGTGCAGGACAAATATAATTTGCATCTGTAGGAGCAAAAAATTCCAAGCCCATGATCCCCACCAGAAGCAAGGAATTCCATCTCTGCAAGTATGTCCACACTGAGATCATTTACTTTAAACCAAAACCTTTCTAAAAGCACTTGACAAATGAGGGAGTACCCTAGAAATATTTTTCAAAAGCTTTCCAGTGAGGACTAAATATACATTCCCAAACAGAAAGCACCCACCCATAATATTTAAAATACAGAATCATTGAATCATAGAATCATTTTGGTTGGA